AAACGTTAGCACGCCTTTAAACAATCAAAAAGTTTTATTCATTCATTCAACGACAAAAATTCTTCCAACAATAAACATCACGCAGCAATCAAAACGAGGTTCAACAATAAGAAAATAACCAAGTGACGACAATAAAATTCAAAAATAAAAACAATCTATTGGCAGCAGCCCACACTAAACCTAATTCCCTTTCAAGAATATCAGTACGTTTAGCATTTCGTCTGAGTGACTGGCTATTATGATTCTTCCTAGCGAAAACAGAACTGGAGAAAACTTCATTGGACTGTTACTTAATTTATTTAAAGTCACTAATTTTGATGAGCTCAGACGGGACGCTATTGATGCACTTATAGCAAATATCTGAATGTATGATTGAATAAGTATTCAACTCCGACCCGTTACTAGCATGCTCGGCAATTGTCAGTGCTAGGGCGCAGAAAATATATTTGGATATGTTGATGTTGAGAGAAATAAGCATTCCTGTACACTCTAACTCGCTAAAGAATTGTAGCGCTAGAATTTGCGCTTTTAGCGACACAATATAGAATTATGGTGTAATATTGTGTCGCTAAAAAATTATGGTTGCGGAAGTTATCACTACTGATTTCTGGTATATGAAAAAAATGTAGCCAGCTATCGCAATACCGAAAAAACTGGCTGCACGAAATAGCGAATACCGCACCACCACCCACCATTGACAGTAAGCATTTTTTTGCCGTCGAGCGTTGCTCCTTGTTGCCTGTTTTAAAAGAATTTTTTCCATGCCATTTTTGTTGTGCAACGCAGAGACAAAGCATGTTTGTTCAAAAAGAAAAAAAATTTTTTTTTCATCCAATTTCAGTGAACAACATCGCAAACGAAGCTCACGCCCAGCTTTCAAACTTTGGAACCCTCTTTTAGACAGCGTTTAGCATTAATAACTATGAACAGTTGATTTTCGTACCGCATCATAGTACAAATAGCAACACACTTCTTTTTCTCTAAAGTAGAGGTTCTTCACGAGATTTATGGGATATATTAATTATGGTAATAATCAGATTTAGAGAATTATCACTTCTTGAGAGCAAAAATTGTGCATGTGGAACTCATTAGGCGAAAGTTTCATGTGTGATAATTTTGGCTGAAATGTCATATGGAGTGGTTTTCGAACCACTTGAACTAGAAATGGGCGTTATTTCAAAAATCCGAGATTTTTTGTGCTACTTTACACAGGCCTAATTTATGATCATTGATCATAAATTTTAAAGTGTACGCACCGTTATTATAATGTCGATATTATTAATGCAACAAAAAATGACGGGTTGAATGTTGTTTTGATGACAGCGATGTGAGAATTCGTTCGAAATGATGTTGTGTTATGATAGATAGATATGGAAGTTAATTTGATCACTTCTCTACGTCACATTCAGCATTTTAGTGCACATACACATACGTATGCAATATACATATTTGTAAATGCATCTACACTTTCATTTATGAGGGTGGTGATGCGTGTGGTTTATGGCATTCACTAATAATAAGTTTTACATGTTTCATTTGAATGTAACCAAATCCAAACTAGAATATACATGTCACATGTATGGGTAGAGCATGGCAAAAAGGAGACTAGAAATGAGAAGGACAACGAATGACTAGTAAGTGCATTGATTAACATTTAAAAGTGAAAGTTCTAGTGAAAGGAATGTGGTCTGGTTTCTATCTGGTTTGCACAATGCACTCATCCCATCATCCATTATTCATGTGCATTATGATGGTGTTCGTATGCGCTCAGTGATCACTGCGATGATACGTTTATCGCATGGATCAGTGTTCAGTTGCTCTCTGATGATAATCGTTATTCAAATTCATATTCTTCAAATGCATCATTTTAATAACAAGTTCCGCTACACACTAGGTGCATACTATATCCCTTCAATTCAGCAGTAACCAAAGCAAAGACATATAAGATCATTCACTCATACAACTGTCACTTGTTTCGTTCGACGCATTACATCTGTGTGATTGTGACCGAACGAAATTCCGAATTTTGATTTTTCGAACAAGTGGCGCTCTGCAACTACGCATGTTTCGTCAGCAATATGTTTATATTGTTCTGATAGGAGAGAGTCTGCTGTATCTGATGTAAAGCAATTATGAAGTAAACCTGAGCTTAAAAGCAGCTTGAAAATGCTAATCTCAATATTCTCACAGTGAGGTGCCTTCACAAAATCAACTATATTTCTAGAAATAAATACTTCCCTCCAAGATCGTTTACATCTTTTTTATGAATAAAAGAATCGCCTCTATCAAGCGATGTAACGAAATCACTGTATTACTAATGGGGTTAGAAACGGGAGATTTTTGGACGAGAGCAGAGGTAGCGGAGGATCTCGTGAAACAGGGCTTCGACCGCGGATTTTACAAGGAAGAACCGGGGGATCTCGCTCTTGTTCCCAATCCTAATCGCTAAACAAACCCGAATATAATTTAGTTCAACAATGATTCTACGATACTCTCATAATGATCCGATGCTGAAAATATGTCTGAGATCAATGCAGCTGTTCACCTGGACGTAAGCATTCCTTGTCAAGAACATTACAGTTTTTATATAGCTCATCGTCGGTATTTCCTTCGCCTTGATAGCATAAAACACGCGGGTGGCGATAAAATTTGAATAAACGGATGGTTTGTTTGTAGTTCTCGTCGCATTTTCATATTAAACACAATCCGTAATCACGACCATGAGATCGACATGTCTTTCTCGTTAGCCAAATTCAAATATGTAAGTTTTGATGTACATTCGGATTAGTATATTCATTTTATCAACACAAATACAAGCAGTCTTTATATGAGGACATGCAACATTAACGAAGTCATTGTATAATGTCATGCACAACGGTAATCAATGAAGAAAGCAACGTTACACTTAAAAACATTGCTAGCATGATATTTTTTGCTATATTCGACAAGAGGGGATCTATCATGGAGAACGAGTTATCTAACGTATCCTCTTGGTCAGGTACCCTTGAACACTTCTGCTGAGTGTCTCCATATTAGGGTATCGGGTTTTCTCTAATCGTTTCACGTTCTGAATTTATATGTGACAATATCAATCAGAGATACTTTTTATAATTCATCTTCCGAGCAACGTTTCGGCATCAAAACAAATCAACAAGCTCCAATCATAAGCCAAAAAAGCTTCCATAGAATTTACTGAAAGATTGTTCATGTTCACGTTTATTTGATCGACTTCGGATCCATCAATTATTGCGTTGTTAAATTGTGCGAAACAAATTACTTATAAAGATGAAAATGGAATGAAAGTGGTATAACTACCTTTAAAAAATGTACATTTTTTATCTGCCCTCATACGACGACAGTTGACAATAGTGAGTTAACTGACCATTCGGTTTAATGTGAAAGATTTTGAAGTTATGAAAAGATACATGAGGCAAAGCGGGAATTCAGTAGTGACCATTCCGATCACATCCTCATCTTTTCAATAGGTTGACCTCAACCTGAAGTACTCAGGCCAGTTTTTTAAAGCGAATTTTTCATTCATCCGAAGTTATTTCAATATTCAGCATCGCCGTGCTAGTCAAACAGTTGAAAACGTATTCAAATCAATTGTGAACACTGCTTATTATGGGCTAAGTAACTTTCTTCATTAAAAATGTCAATTATTTTATGCAGTATTGCAACATTGAACAAATTTTATTAAACGAATTGCTCATCTGTCCCACTGAACATAACCTGTGTTGACCGTCGCATTTTATCTTGAACCGTTATTATTTTGTCATCAATTTCTTTATTAACAGTACTGATTGAATTATCAACTGTGTACCATCAATATGTAGATTGTTATCGAAGATATTAGACTGCATCCAGTACACTGTTCTTATTTACGTAATTTAACGTCCGAGCTTTCAAGTTCAAGTAAGTACCGCCATTCAGGTGACTCCCAGCTTGAACCATTAGCTTAAAAATAAACTGACAAAATTCACACTTTCAACATGGTCCTTTCCAGTTCTCCGATTAATATTTCCGTTCAATGATAAAGTTACTGCAAAGAAAACCAACACCTAAATCTAATTCTGCTGCTGAAAACAATGAAAATTTGTAGAATTGTTACCAACACAAATTTTACCCAATGTTTGTTTCTATGGTTCAGAAAACTTTTGATATCTCAATCGTAAAGTTATGAAACAATTAGGCAGAAAAAGAGATAAGAACAGATCTAAAAATTGAGTTTTATAAGGACTTTACGAGAACAGATTGTTACAAATTAAAATATTGTGATAAATAATTGTGCAAAATATTAAAAACAATTCAAAATGTTGCACTTGACTGAAACAGAGTGCATCATTTAACATGAAACTCGTTGAAATGAAACAATAAACTGGTGAGTGACCACCAACCAATAAAACTATTGCGAATTTTCGTTGGCGAATTCCTCTAATACGACAGTATAAAATTAAACAACCTTCTCCAAAACGGAACCTATATCGTCGAAAAACAATTTTTCTGACCGATATCTCCTTCCAAAAATGGATTTACAAAAAATAAATTTTTTTCGATGGAATTACAAAAGTAATCGCTAAAAAACTGATTTCGTACTGAATCAATTTTAAAATTTTAATGAATTACATAAACCCTCATCAAAATTATCACAACGAAAAGGATGAACGAATAACAATGAAGCAGTGAAAAAAATCATCTAGAAAATGCCCAAATAAATAACAAAAAATAGCAAAAGCAGCCGTCAACACTTTCCCAAATCATTAATCCCATCTTGAGCCACAAGAAAAAAACTAGAAATGACATTCAATTGGATCACAAAATCACATCATTTACAACAACTGAAAAATTATATTATATAATTATAACTATAAATGAGTAAATACAATCACAATAATTCAGATAAAAAGTTTCGCAAAAGATATGTGTACGAAAAACTGCAAATATCCTATTGATGCTTTAAGTAAAGGCACAGCTCAAGAAACGAATAATAACAACATGATTCATGATTGTGCAGATGGTGTAGACTCATTGATCAGATGATTCTTGGCACCTTCGAAGACTGACATCAACGAATACGCATCTGCAGTTAATTCACATATTTGCTGATCACCCCAACTGTGTGTTGGTAAACTTTGCAATAATATCATAATGCCCTGAAAAGTAAAATAAAAACTGCGTCTTCAACACACAAAAATAATCCAATAATGAAATGTTCACGGAACTGTTTGTACGATGTGAGTATGCATGATCAGCGAAATCTGATTTTTAAAACAACTCATCAGATGATGAATATTCGAAATTCTAGAACCATTTCACTTGCTAACCTGAAAATCTTTCTCGGCTTGCAATTGTTTTGACCACATTCTTAAAAATGCAGCACAGACGTAACCGTGAAACTGCGAGAAACCGTTTCGCTCACTCTGAAGAATGAATGAAGTTAAACAAGCGAATATAATAATAATAATAATTAACCTCTTTAAAATAACCTCTTTTCAAGAACAAGTTTCAATCGAAAACGCTTTAGCAAATTATTCGCATGCTTAAAATTCATAAGAGTTAACGAGGATAATTTCTGAGGGGTGAATAAACTGAAGAACGATAAGTGCAATTATCAGAACAAAAAAAGAACAGATGATCAGAAGACAAGCAAACCAAATAGGTATCCCATAAACGGATAGTTGCACGCAGAGGGATTTCTCTCATCAATAAATTATTCATCCATCGAAAAGCGAACTGAAGGTATTCGATACCATGTGATTCCAAGTGCTGATGAAGTTGTCCTAAAAAGAGGATATATAGATACCCATTAGTGTTTTCATGATGTTGTAATTTAGTTGGAGAGCGACATTCATTGAACAGTAAATCAATCAGGTGACTTTGTTTGAAGAACTGCTGATTTAAGTATAGGCGAAATGCTTGCTTTTATACAGAAACCATTTGAAAATTTCAATGAAAACTTATTACGGTTCTTCTTGCAAAGGAGGTATATACCATATATGTAAAAATATTAAAAAACGAAGAAAAATATGTGAAACGATTAACGAAAGGCTGAAATATCAGCAGAGAGCTACTGAAGAAATAGACATAAAATGAGAAAACTAACGATCTACACGACTCATCAAGTGTTTCAGCTGTACAATTTTGCGTTGTATACCAGGTTGAGCAAATGTGTAGTTATCCTGAATGGTATCAAGTAATGCACTAACACACCAAAAACTATCTGCCTCAACAACATCGAGCTGTTCACGAGGCAACTGGTCCACCTCGT